CAAATCAATTAACAGCCTTTCATCTTTTTCCCCAAAGCAGAAATTTCACACTCAAGAGGATCCCTATGAATATAATGATTTGGGAGATTTCACTCATAGCTCCACAGTGACTCAACATGTGTTAACTCATATGGAAAAGAAACCCTGTATCAGCAAACAATATCAAAAACCCTTTAGTGACCAGTCATATGTTAATCAACATAAGCAACTTTACACCAGAGTTAAATCATATGAGTGCCATCTATGTGGGAAAACCTTCAGTAATTGTTCTAGCCTTAGAAGACATGAGATGACTCACACTGGAGAGAAACCGTACGAATGCCACATCTGTGGGAATGCTTTTATTCAGAGCTCTGACCTTAGAAAACATAGTCTCACTCATACCGGAGAGAAACCTTATGAATGTCATATATGTGGGAAAGCCTTCAGTCAGTCGTCTAACCTCAGACAGCACCAAAGGACACACACTGGAGAACAACCGTATGAGTGTTGTCAGTGTGGGAAAGCCTTCAGTAAATGTTCTGCCCTGAGACGACATGAGAGAACTCACACAGGAGAGAAACCTTATGGATGTCATCTGTGTGGGAAAGCCTTCAGTCAGTGTTCTGCCCTTAGACGACATGAAGGAACCCACAATGGAGAGAAAATTATGAATGCCTTCAGTAAATATTCTGACCTGAGATGACATGGTGGTATAAGTAATGAATATAGAAGAAAACTCAATCATAGTTTTAACATTAAAAAACAGCAAGGACTCGCACATTAAGGAAACACTATCTGTGATCAATGTGGAAGGTCCTGCAGTCATCCTTACTCATCTTCCATGTGCAAATGTAGATGGAAGATAATCCAGTTGTATGGAATCTCTCTGGCAAAGCCTTCAGCCACTCGTCTGACCATAGGTGACATGGGAGAACTCACACTGGAAGAATAAAGAATGCAGAAGTCTGCAGCAACAGCTCTCAGCTTCATACTAGAAAATTCACACAGGGGAGAACCCCTCAGTCTGCAGTCACTGGGAATGCTTTCATTTATAATTCATGGTAAACAATGTGAGCAAACCCCACTTGGGAGAACCCTAGGTCTGTAATTGCTATGAACATTTATTCAGCCAAGCTCCAAGCATGGTGTGCACAAGAAAACTCAGTGATGAAATAACCACTAGACCAGTATTTAGGAGACTAACACCTCTTGAGGAATACCAATAATTTTTCCTTGGGAAATGATTCAGTGAAAAGTTATGAGAAGTCCTTTATTCAGAGAGGAATGCTGTGGCTCATAGGAGAATTTGGAGAATACAAAACACGTTCTGTGTCATGAAAGAAGGACAGAGATCACTCATTTATAGTCAGCACTACAGTCCTCATGTTGAGGGGACAGAAGTTCTATACCCAAAGTGGAGAAAGCTTCAGCTGGATTTCATACCTGAAAACTCA